TGTAGTTTAAATAGCTGTTCTACATAATGTCATACTGCACTGTGGCTTTTCTCTGATCCATAAATGGTCAAAATAATAAACATTGGGAAAGGTATATACATACAGCCTCTCTGTTATTTGGATAAATGTTCCTTCACAAGTTGTACATTGAATAAATCTTTTTCAGAAATTATCAGGGTTCTGGGGTGATTCTGGTATGAAATTGAACCATTATTGTAAGCAAAACTGATAGAAGACATTTAGGTTGGATGTTTGTTTTTTTTTGTCAAGAATAACCTTTGAATTTCAGATGGAGCTGAGGTCAGAGTAAATCCACAAGCATCATGTCTTCCTGCTTTAACTTCTGTTTTTTGGATCATTGATCTGCTGAAACATCGATTTGTGTCATAATTTCAACTGTCAACCACTGACTTGAGAAAAAGTTGAAGAACTCTGAGGGGATTCTAGTCAGCATGACACTGCCATCACCATGCTTAAAAGTTGATACAACTTGAAACCCTCATTTTGACTCATATAACCGAGTCTTTATCTTGAATAACCCTAAAACTTTCTCTTGAAGGTATTTGGTTTGTCCGTGTGGACAAATACAAACTTAAATTCAGCTTGACACTATTTGGTGAGATTACTGAAATTCAGGCCAAGTTGGACTTTGAAATCTGTCAGAATTGGTTTTGAAATACAAAAAGCAGGTTGACGTATCAAAGCAAACATTCAAAGTGCTTTTCTCAGATGGAGGAGTGAAATAAAACATATTTGAAAACCATATTTTTTTTTATTTCTCTCTCATAATAATTTTGAAATATTTCAGCTAAGTACTGGGTAAGTTTAGACAAATACATTTCATGCTCTGGGTTGTTAGACCAGAAATATTTTAAAAGGCAAGCGTGAACATGTTGCTTCCAACCACTAAATAAGCTGTTGAAACAACATTTGGTGAATTTACGGCCTCTTTTAAGCAATAAATTTCTGTAAACCTCAAGCTGTTGGTTAAGCAAATCACAAAACAACTAAAATTATTTCTCATGAAAATGTGAAACAGTTGAATATTTATCAAACAAATAACTTGAAAGACGAATGATCCAATAACACAATGTTGTGATCTTTGCCTGACCTGCAGATGTTGGTACAGTGGCAGCTCTGTTTGGGTGGGTCCCTGTTTTCATATTAACTTAATAGACATCCTCATGAGGTCGCCAGTAATGGGTTCACAGAGATGATCGATAATAATCAGTGTATAATTTCAACGCACTTCATATAATTCAAATAAGTACTAATGACTGACACACATCTTGAAAGATAATAACACTCGATCAAAATGTCGCACAAAGCAAGTTATTTAATTAAACATGTCTGATGACAGAGATGCGCTACATTTCTTTGGGAGGGGGTGGAGTGTTAATTGGATTACTTATGATCTCAGGAGAACTATATTAACTGAGATCCTGAGCCCAAAGAGTCGCTTAGCTTGAACTCAAGAGAAGCAAAGCTGATCGGTTTATGTGGGAGAACTCCAACAAGGTAAACATTATTTTCTTTTATTCGATTTTATTACAACACATTTTCTAAATGTCATAAAATGGAGAGAGAAAAAACCTGTAGCTCTTTTGGTTTATTGCTGCAATGAGTCACACAACCAGTCTAATATGTTTATACTAATATAACAAGTTCTTGTACATATTAGAATAGTTTGGTATTTTAATTGTGATCTTGTTAAAGTCTCAAACAAAAAGCATATGCTCTTGTCATTCTTGTGGTAGCCATTCACAGCAAAGATAACAAATAATGAATGATTGAAAGCTGAATAATTTCTCATACTCTAAAGATGCATTTTGTAATTTAAAATAGATTTTTAAATTAGTTTGTTTTTGAAGAATCAACCATAGGGTTTTGTTGCGTTTCAGATATTAGAGAAAATCTTTAACAATAATTTATGTGGAAAAACTAAGATATAAATCGATCAATTAATTACATGCCCAGCTCAACCATAAGAATTGTTACAAAGCCAGATTGCTTATTGCTTAGAAATTAAATATCCAAGTAGCCACTTTACTTGTTTTTGCTTTCAGACAAACAATTGACGTCCTCATCCATAAAATATTAATTCAACAACTTTAATGTTTTCCATTTTGTTACTTACGGAGCCCCCGAGGGGACATGGGGATTTTTTTTTTCTTTTGCGTCCCCTCGCAAAACTTTTGCGTCCCTATGTCCCTTCGGGGGCTCCGTAGTTACTCCTGGGAAAAACTGAATCAGATTTTTTTTTTTTTTTGGGCCTAAATTCTTGAATCTAGAACCTAGAACAGAACCATTAAAAATGTAGGAAATGGGTTAGCATTAGCATTAGCTCCATGGAGAACAAACACAATCTAAGTAAAGATAGTTAACACAATAGACAGATGCATATATAAATGCGTTAATATTTTTGAGCAACCCTAATAACAGATAATATATTTGTCCTCTGGATAAAATTCTAACTTTAGCGTTTCTGCTATTAATTCTGAAAATAATCTAGAACACTCAAAATATGTGTTATGCTAACATTTCTGCTGTGGTAACGTTAGCTTGTTGGCTAAAATGCCAACAATAAATGGGGGAGGGGGTTTTCCTGCCCGCTAATATTAGCTATAGCGCTAACAGTCCGTCGAACTGAACAAAAATATCCGGCAGTGCTGAAATCTGACGTGGTTGTTCCTCCCTACATCCAGTGGGTGGCGCAGGTCACTACAATCGATAGTAGCCACCCAGGCACACCCGCTAGAAGGAAACAAACGCCCCCAGTACAACACTTTCATTCTATTGGCTGAGAGGTTGCTAGGCGACTGTGCCGTTTTTTTGTTTTTTTTTATTTTAGAAGTGGACAATTGCTTTATATTTTTTATTTACATTTTAAACACATTTTAAAATGTAAATGTAAATTTAATAATATTCTTATTCTTGATTGGCACATATAAATATTTTAAATTTATATTTTGATTTAAAATACAAGAAATGATGATAAATCCCTTGATGGTTTGCTACCATTTAAAATTTCATGATTGATTTTCAGAGAAATGGAGGCAAATCTCACTTCCCTGGTTGTGATGGTCTTTCTTATATTTCCTGTGTCGTGTTTGAGTACAGCAGACACATATGAGCCACCCAGAGAGGTAAATGGACTATTTCCTTCCTAGGCTATTCCCTCAAAATGTTTTACTGCACTCAGCACTTTTCCTCTTTGCTCTCAGACAAGTGAAAACAAACTACTCAAGAGATTTTATCCCACTGACTACGACGCCTTTGTGGGTCTTTTGGGAAAGAGACATGCTGCTTCAGCATTGAGTAAGCATTTCTTATATTATTCAATAATCTCAAAACATTTCCGTTTTCTTGTAAGGCAGTGCTTTTTAGTTGGGGTTTAAAAAATAAATTACATTTTCTGTCTTGCACAGATGATGCCGATCACATCCTTGCTGACCTGCTAAAACAAAAAACTGGTGAGTGTCTCTGCAACGACTAGTCATTTATTCGGGACCAACTTTCTTGTTTTGGTCTGCTCAACAAACCTACAGCTTTCTATATAAATTTGATAGTAAATGTTTTTCTGATATTGATAATGGCACATATATTTTTAATAATTTATCAGCCAAAACGTTTTTTCTCATCATTAAATCAAGAAGTTACAGATCTGAATTAAAATGTTGAGCTTGTGTTATCAGATTTATTGGTAAGGGGTGGAAAAGACAAATTAAAAACAGCAGTTTTCATGCTAACGAGCTTCAGATTTTAGATAAAAATTTGAAATGAGTTTTGAACCTCAACGAGTTACTACACATTTTATATTTGTAAGATTGTGTAAAACTAGTACGCAGACTCCAGTCATTTTTTTTTTTTTTAGGCTTTTTATGAAACCACTGGGGAGGAAAACAACCTTTGGACTGTCAGCTTGTTATGTTGATTCTTGTCAGATCTCCCTTTCGGTTGAGTTATTTCTTCTGCCCAGTTAAAAACATATTTGACATTTCTGTGCCGTTGTTCATCCTGCTCAAAACTTTTTCACATCTCAACCACAAAACCTCACTGCATTTTAAAGGATGCAACACAAAAGAGATATTTTGACATATTTCACTTTGCAAACGTTCCAATTGAGGATGATTGACAGCACTAAGACCCTCCTCCTGGTTGTGATTGGTTGTTTTTGACTGGGAGTGGTGCATTTCTTCAGATAATTCAGGGAAATGATGGAAAACAACAGCTTTAACAAATATGTCAAAAATATTTTATAAAAGTTATGTACTGCCGCTTTAGCAGCTAGAATCCCAAAAAGAGACTTTATGCATAAAGTGTGACACTTAGCAACCTTCCCAACACCGCATTCAAGCAAAGACAATTGAGATTTAGAATGTTGTGCAGATGTAATCTGCTTTCAACTTCTCAACAACTTTAACCCTGAGTTTTCTGCTGTGCTCTTTGATCTCTGAGGCATTCACAGAACGAAACCAAAACCAATGGATTCCTGCTTATACTAATTAGGTGACTTGTCAAGGCACTTGATTGCACATAATGTTCTTAATGGGTGTCAAAGGTTCAAAGAGTATTACACATTTGTCAGTAACTCTACATAATGTTGAGCCTAACTTGTTAACTGGTGATTTAATCTTTGTGTGCAGCAGGAGCAGGTTGTGGATCAGTGCGAACATTTCTGCAGAAGACGGGGTTTCAATTCTCCAGTTGTGCAAAGCAAAGGTGAGAAATAGATTTCAATCTACCCGAAAGACAAATAAATGTGATGTTAGACTTTTTGGCTATTGAACCATATTTGTTCTTTCATAGAAGACAACGCTCTCAGTGATGCAGATGGCAAACATCCGTGTGTGACCAGCTGTCATAAAACCTACAATTTATCAAAGCTCTTCTATTCAACAAAGTCATCCATTGTTAGGAGCCACATAGGGATAAACACGCTGGTTAAGCCAAAGAATTCACAACTGTGACATCTGTTGCAAAAATGTATAACGAAACAGTACAGTAAAATATTTATTTATAGTGATTAAAGTACCTTTCACAAAAAAAAAAAAAAAATCATATTTTCTGTGCTCTCACAAATCTGCACACTTCAATTCCAACAACTAACACAAATACATGTCAAGTGTCGACACAGCACTGTACATTTTTTTCCCTGTGAGAAAAACCCTAATGTTGACAAGATTGTCAAGGAACTGGTGTCTCACTCTTTTTAAGAAAAAATTCAATGCAGCAGATATCAAACACGAGCCGAAGCAACTTCTTTCAAAGAGGCTTTGACGTAAAAAAATCCCAATTTGACTGACACCGAGACATGTGAAATCTTACAACCATCTCCTGTTAAAAAAACGGATAAAAATAGAACTGCGCTTCTCACACACAAATAATTAGTTGTAACACAGAGTCTGAAAAGCTTCCATGTAAACAAATTTAAAGTGGTTGAAATCAAAATCAAAAGTGCAGTGTGTTTTGTTTTTCAGCCACTTCTTGGCCATCATTTTTCACAAACATAAAATTTTCAGTTTATCAGAAAAAGTAGAAACTTTTACACATTGTCATCTAAAAAAAAAAAAAAAAAAAAAAAAAAATTTAAATTTAAAAAAAGGGTTTTTTCCAGTCAAACTAAAGCAAACAGAAGCAAAACACACAATGAAAGGCTTGGAACAAAATTATCCTTCATCGTCCTTTTTTCCCCATTTTAACGTCACAGTGCAAAGTCGCGTGTGCAGCTCATGGCTCATACATTCTCAGTTCGCAAGGCACATTCTTTAAGCGTCAGCTTGGGGAGAAGGACGCAGGAACTTGCCAAATGTGTGTGTGTGTGTGTATGACAAGTGGCAGTTTCAGGAAGCGCAGACAAATATCCTGCAACTGTTTGCTTTCAGCAAACCACCCATATTTTCAAAGGGAACGAGAAATTATTCAATCAACTACTTCCTCGACCATCCAGCAAGGAAACACGGCTGTATGAGTGAAACTGTTGGATGAAATGAATGAAGAAAACTACTACCTTCACTGGGGAATCTTTTCTCCAGTGCAAAAATCTTTGGTTGGATTATATAGATCTGAAATATTATAGTAAACATATCTAATGTATGTATACAGGCTCATATACACAGGATTGGGAATATTGTAGATTTGATTAAATGGAATAAAGTAAAATAATTCAAGTCTAAATCTGTGTTTATGTTCCCTTTACAGTGGTGTGAAAAAGTTGTTACTTTTTGTATTTTCTAACATATTTCAGATCATGAAATAAGTTTAAATAGCTGACTGTCTCAACGTGAGAAGATAATTGAATCAATCAACTAAAATATTTAACTAAAGTTGTCCAGGACATTTTAAATGATGGAAGCATGACTTTTGCCCTGCCAGAAATATTCTGGTGCAAGATGTCCAGCCATCAGAATATAACCTAAAGCTCAAGCAAATATTTGAACGGCTCAATAAGTAATAATAATAAAAAAAAATTATATTTAAGATTGGTTTTATTAAAAGTTTTGACTTGAATTTGATTGAGACGTAGCTTCACTTTAGAGCAGGGCTGTCCTACTTTAAAATCAAGTAAAGTAGTCCATGTTATTTAACACTACGGAGTAGACAAATATTTCAAATCTTTTAGGCTCGGTTGAACAGAATTATTCTCAGATATAAAAACAAGATTTGTCTTAAGTTCTTTAAAAAAGTTTGACATATTTAGCTACGCTTAATAAACTAAATAAAAAAGTGATCTGGGTACAAAGAACGCACTTTATGTGTATTACTGCCAAAAACTCTCTTGGTCTGCAATGTAAGGATTTGGTGTTCTTCTCTTTTTAAATTGTTGGCAAAAAAGGCCATTTTTAAAGTTTCTGAACCTTCATTAGGAAGCTTTTATACATCAATTTTAAAAAAAGCAAATGAATAGTTTATGACAGCCATGGGCATCTGGGTAGGCTTGAACATTAAAAACATTATAAATAAATATTTCAGACCAGAATAGCTTGGGCATTTCCTCAGGAGGACTTTAAACTGTAGGAACATGGACAGCTTTAGAAGTCATAAAACTTTACTATTCCATGGCTGAAACCAGCCCGGCCTGTTCCAGACAGACAAGACTTTCTTTATGAAGCATAACAACCAAAATGTGACTAGGTTAATAAGGAGTCCCACATGGAATGTTATGCTTCGTGTCCAGCTGAAAAAGACTGAAAAACAGTTTGAGAGGTAGCTCATGCGAAAAACCCAAAAAAACGAACACGAACGTGACTGGAAGTTTAAACTGATGAGAAAGTTTTACGGCTCAGAACATGAAACCAGGGCATTCTTGACAGAACCAGGTCCTCCCTTGCAGTTCGCTGTGAGGAATGAAGTCAGACAACGTCTGCGGGTGTGCAGGACAACCAAATGACAGTTTTCTTGTTGTGAATGCAGACTTAAAACATAAAACATTAAAACAAATTAAATGAACATTTTTGTTAAAATGTTGGATCAGGATCACCCTCTCAAAAATTCATATAGACAAACACAGGCGTCCAAGAACACAGTTGTAAAACCACTTCAGAAAATAAAAGGGTAAAAGTCTCAGCCCGTGGAACAGTCTTGCAGTCACAGCTGACATTAAAAGCAGTCGCTGAGCTCCAGGATCCTCAGGGAATGCGCTTGTATGTGGAAGAAGCTTAGGATCAAAGGGGAGCCAATTTCCTGCTTGTGAAGAACTACAATCCCAGACTATCACAATGCATGGGTAACACGAAAAACACCCATCTTCTCCTACTTAAAATCCGTGTTATTATCAAACTGGCGCTTCAGCAGGATCTTTAGCAGCCACAGGTGCAGGACCTGCTTCCTGCGCTGAATCATCTCCAGCCCCGGACTCCTTGACCCCAGACGCCCGCTCTTTTAGTCTTTCAGGAAAATCCAAGGCATTTGGAAGTTCAGCTCTGTAAGCCTTTGGGGTCGGCGGCTGGTAGCGGTATCTGTAGCCAAAGGCACGCAGGTGATAGGCGTAGTACTCCAACATGTACATGCTGGTGGCGTCTACATAATGAAAAGACACCGACACATCTGAACAGCAGTTTGGACCCTACGACAAAAAAAGAGAAAGTATGCAAGTTAACCACCAAGTCAGAACCCTCCAAATTTTCCATGTTTTTGTCATGTACGATAGACCAACCCAAGTTGTACATGACTGGAAAGTAGGGCTGCACCATTGGCAGTTTTCTGGTCGATTGCTGATTACTGATCTTTTAAAAAGCCTAAGGTACCGATGCCGATTTTAACCGATACCAGTTTTTCGTCTGAAATGTTGCTTAATATATCAAGAAAGTTGCTGAATTGGAAACAATAGCGTGACTAACTGTAAATATCTCGACATGACCTAATGAGGTTTGTCTGTCAAACGTCTCTCACAGGAGAAAGGAAAAGCACTGTGGTTGATTTTTAGACCTTTGCCGAGGTTGAAAACATTGGTGGATTAGATCAGCTTCACATGTAAAAACAAGCCGATCACCAATCTCCCAAATTAAGGATTAACTAAAGTAGACCAGACAAGTAATAGTAGAATTCTCGTCAAATTAAATTAAAGAGCGACAAACAGGGAGCCATTAGAAGTTTCATAAGTCATGTAAAGGACACATAAGCCCCTTTTGCACTGCACCACTGGAACCGGGTTGACCTGGGCCGGCCGATCATTTCAACATTACCACTTCTAGTCCAGTACCACCCCGCTCCCTGGAACCCCAAGAGTTATGGTTCCAATCGGGCAGGCCAGACCAGGTCAGTTTGAAATTAGCTTTTGATTGGTTCATTGGCTGCGGGGGCGGGACAAAGATCAGATTTCTGGATCAGAGGAGCTCTAGACTTTCTCGATGGCCGTCATGTTAATATGACAACATTCAGATGAGATGGGTTTTTTCCGTTAAATGTAAAGCTGAGGTAAATGTTTCCACAGAAAAAATGGGAGGGAAGACCCAAGAAGAAAACTGTTCTGCAGTTGCTGGGGAAATCACCTGGGTAGCTTTAGCAATAATTCTATTTACGCAACTTTTCCAGCTCAATCCTAAAAGACCAGGGCCATAGTACCAATAGGACCGGGTCGAACGGAGTTGGGCTGGCCCAGGTCGAACCCTGCAGTGCAAAAAGGGCGATAGAGGACACAGCAAAGATGTGGATCAACAATGACTTTTTGGGTCTACATGCCACATATTGTGATTCAGTTGGACGACATCTCTGTCTTTGTTTCAACAAAGACAAGGATGCTGATCAGTGGATGTGACGTTTGATAGCGCTAAATACACAGCAAAAAGTAGTCAAACACGTTCAAACTGAAAAACACCGACAACTCTGTAAGCCTTTGGGCTTACAGAGACGTTCACCTTCCAGCAGCAGGACAATAAACGAAGTGGCAGTTATGGAGAGAAAATAGTCTCAAAATACCTGATTTTCTCTCCGTACAGAGTGACTAGGGAATCGTTTAGTTGCATCTTTTATTTCTGAAGACACTTGAGTTGGTTTTTAAAAGAATAATTGGCAGAAATATGTTTGGAACTACAAAGTGGGAAACCATTGAAATTTACAGCAAAAGGATGATTCTATTAAGTAGTCAGGAGGGGTGGATAAATGCAAATTATAATTATTCATGATAAAATAAAGAACGATTTTATTCTACTTCACAACATTATGCTTATGTGTTGTGTCATCACATAAAATTCCAATAAACTCATGAAAGTTTGAGATTGTAATGTGATAAAATATGAAGCAGTGAGTACAAATACTCTTACAATACAATGGAGGCTGTGTGAAGAAATTTTCCACAGCCTGTATTCTCCCTACAGTGTATGCCTCTACACACTGCCTTGGTCTGGAGAAGCAGACACATTGCCATGGCAATTTCTGACAGGAAAACGGTTCAAAAGTTGCCACGGCAAAAAGACAAATGAGTAAAGTGCACATAAGCTGAAAAACACCCAGCGCTTTTGCTTTGTGGTTGTGATTATAACTGTATGTGGTTCTTCCAAGGCAGGATTGTGAAAACCACAACCTAATGTAGATACTGACTTCATCCCTTTATCCCATAAGCATGCCTTATAACACCTTAGATCAACGCTGGGATTTAACAGCACTTGCCTCTGAGATGGGGTAGTAGCAGTAGCTCCAGTACCAGAAGCTCTTAGGGAACTTGGCAGTGAGGTGTTGCTCGGGGACGAAGGGGTGGAACGTCTCCCTTTGCACAGTGTCTCGGGAGTCTCCTGCCAGCACCCCAACCTTCTCCATACACTGCCCCATCGCCAGGTCCTCTACAGATGAAGTGTGTGTGCACACTTTGTTTTTAAAACCTTCTACGAATCTCCGCAGGGCTTCTCTGCTCAGTACGTATCCCGCGCCGCCGCTCATGTACCCCTGCTTGGTGTAGGGCTTGAATCTTCGGCCGAAGTAAATCGGCTCGTCCGGCGTGTGGTTGGCGAGGATCCATCGCAGATTGTCCACTATGACGTAGGTGTCGTCATCTGCCTTGAGGAACCAGTCTGCCTCATTGGCGTGATGCTCATAGGCGTAATGGAAGGCCCTGATCGTTTTCCAGTACAGCTGATCGCGCCCCTCCTTTGTGCCAAGTCCCACCGTGGGGAAGTCGGGGTCATCCACAGAGCTCATGAAAACAACTATGTTGCAATGGCGGCTCCATGTGTACTTGACATGCCGGGCCTTTGTCTCCAAGTTGTTGGGACCAGTCATCACCCAGCAAAGGATTCGCACCTTGTTGTACAATTCATCAGCCATGCGGCTATCCTCACCTGGCAGGGAGACAAAACACATTAAGCTACTTTTATGTGTGAAGTCTATTTCCACTTGGGAACAAATCAACAGAGTTCTGGATTTCATCAAGACATACACTTGAGATACACCATGCCATTATGTTGCTGGGTTGATGACCAGCAACATGAGCATTAACCCAGCAATTTGTTTGAGTCTTTATAAATAACTTTATGATTCTTGTCCGTCATCATTTTAAATTGTTTTATTTGACTTATTTTTTCTTTAAAATCAAAGTATTTTTTTAATTTGAAACTGTCAAATCTGACATTTGCCTTAATTTTTTAAAAATTGTTAATGTTTTATTCCAAAAATAATTACACCGACATTCTTTACCAAATTTTTCTAATGAAAGTTTTACTAATAATGCCTCTGACGTACATACATGTACAGTAGAAATTATTTTGCCTTGCTAGCCTTCAGTGTTATTAATACAGGTATATGTTGCTCTGAAAATGTTCAGTGAACATTTCTGATGACATACTGGGGAGGTTTTCTGAATGTTCAAAGCCAACTGAGAAACCACTGCACAGAAGAGGATCATGGTGTGGCAAACCTTTTGCCAAACTCAATTAAAATTATGCTTTTCAATAAAAATAATGCTTACAGTGTCACCAAAATCAAGGTGTAGCCTCTGTTTCTCAACCCACAGCTCACAGACGACTTCGTGACAAAGGTTCACAAGACAGAAGTTTTGTTGTAAAACCAGACAGAACTAAAAACTTGTCTGTTAAGCCAAAGACAAAAACTGGATCAGACCTTTAGTCTAAAGATCTTAGGTGATCCCTGCATGTTGACAGTAATAGATGGGGATAAGATTAATGGACAGAATGGAAATGAACAGCTTTGTTAACAGTTGCTAAACTGGTTTGTCGAGAAACTTTGAAAGCCGTTGTCTAAAACAAAATGTGTTGGGATATGCCGACATTCAAATTGTCAATTCTTCATAATTTTTTTTTTCCCCCCATGTTTCTGACATCATTGGAAAGCTTAAAGTATAAACTTTTAGAATCTGTAAATAACTCAAAACACCCCCAAGTTGACTAGCTCATATTTTGATATATTTGTGGCCAGTAACCTATGTAGAAATATTGAAGCAAGATCTAAAGATATCAGCCAGGGCAGACACTGGGCTTTCAAATGGACAATAACCCTAAACGTACAGCCTTAGTGGTTACAAAGTGTCTTAAGGACAACAAAGTCAATATCTTGGTGTGGCCATCATAGAGTCCATATCTCAGTCCTATGGAGACGTTGTGGGAAGATGTGAAACCTGAGGTGGTCTATAATAATCAAAGCATCAACAGCACACATTTTCACAAAATTTTTGCTGTGGTCTATTGTGTTATTGGGATCAGGTGTGTTCCTTATGTTCTCACCACTCAAATCCTTCATTAAATAAAATTAAATAAAGCCTTTACCACAACTGCTTCAGATAGCTATTCATTCAGCTTATTTGGTAAATGACATGTCATAGTAGTTTATGATGTTCACACCTTCCATAAAGATTTGAAAGAAACATTCTGGCAGCTAAGCTTATTTTATGGCAGCCATTTTGATTTCGATGAGCAGGCGTGTTATCAAGCTTTCTTCTGCATATCTGCACATTGTTTTGTACAGGTGGATAACCCGAGACTCATCTAAATGGAATGCTGTCCTCCTAATAAGCCTGCTCTTTTGCTCAAATATATCAGAATATCGGTCGAAAAAGAAAACTGCTTGATGTACATAATGCACCATGGCAAAACTAAAATCTAAAATCTTCTATCATACGGTTTCTATAGTTTAGTCCTCTTTGTAAAAGCTTGCTAGACTTGCTCCTCGGGTCTACATAAAGCAGAGTGGTAGAAAAGGGTGATTTCCCTTACAGTAAGTGCCTAAAAACTTTTAAATATAGCTGTTTTAAAATCAAATTAACTACACATAATAATTTTCATCATCAATGTTTGATCATATTTTAAAAGCAGGAGTAATTTAAGATTTTTCACTGTCACTTAAAGCCTGGCAGGGAGACAAAACACATTAATGTACTTTTATGAGTGAAGTCTATTTCACACATAATTCCAGCAACATAATTGTGTTATCCATTTTATTTATATTTGTATGTAACCTTTTTTTTTATCCAAGGCTATATGGTAAGAACCTACACACCTACTATTCTCCCGACTCAGAATAAGCAGGAAGTAGATTAATGCAAAACTCAGCGACTAATGGAGTCCTTCATATTACACCCAGTGTCTTAAAGGGTTATGTAAAGATTTCACAGCATATTAAAAGGAGATCCTTACACCAATACCCAAGAAACTGAAGAAATAACTGCTCACTAATAAGATTACTTTAACATCTGAAATGCTAAGGTAGGTAACATCCAAGTATAAAAAATGTATTTCCTTTAATTTTATGTAGTCAATCATTAAGATGTGTTCAAGTTAATCCCTCTCATTAAAGCTCAATTCATCTGAAATCTTACTTCTGTAAAATAAAAGTTTCTCCTTTATTGCTCCTGGAAAACGAACATACCTCTATGGTGAGGGTGATCCAAGTTGAACAGAGCAGACCTATCTTTCTTCCATATCCCCTGGTCTTCGTCCAACTGTTGCACCTGGACATTAAGTTTCCTATAGCCTTCGGCCTGCTCCGACCTCTCAAACCAAACCTGCCGCAGGAACACGTATAATGTGAAGGTCCCCACCACAAAACCCGCATAAAAAGAGAATCTGGAGCCCAGGGCCTTCATGCTGGACCAGGTGACCTGCAGTTAATCACTGTGGCAGCGGCTCAACCTAAAGGACGGGAGAACTGGAGTGAGTCCAATGCTATTGTCGGGGAGTTATTGATGCATCTGTGGCTGTACGTGTGTCCCTCCCTGTGCTTGAGGTGTGGTTAACTCACCAGCAGCAACGGCGGAAGATAAAACATCGCACCTGAAATATCCAGCGGACTACTTCCTCTCAGCGACCATAGCGCTTCGGCTCGGGGGAAGCGAAAGCCGAGGGGAGACGTGACGTTTTCCACTACGAACGATAACAGTTAGCCATAACACAAAGCCAAGCTGAGTTCTCACCCAGCGACCAAAGAGCGACCAAACCCCAGAACCGTTCACTGAGTAAACTCCCAAGTGAAGAGAAAACAAACAATGGCACTCGTGTCCGGTTAACCATTTACTCCAGCTCTGTGTTGGAACCGTTAGCGAAAGCTAACTAGCTAGTCAGTTATCCAACCGACGGTGCTAGCGTCAACTTCGCTGTTAAGTTATTTAGCAGTCGCGTCGCGGCTGCGCGGCTGAAGGAAACCCCACAGACGAAGGAGGGAGGCTGATGTTTCACTTTCACTGAAACAAAAATCCCTAAGAAAACCCGGAGACAAGAAGTTTAAAGGAGCTCTACGTCGATGGAGGGTTAAGGTCTAACTTGTGTGACTAACTGCTGTCTTCCGTCCAGTAAAAACCGTTACTTCCGGTCATATTAGTCAGAGGGCAGGGTCGGACTTTAACCCTTGTAAACACGACTTGTTGAGAATAAACGGTTATAAAGTTTTATTTTAAGGAGATGTATTTTACTTCCAGGCGTGGAAGTAAAATATGTTGTTGTTGCAACATCATAACACCACTTTAGATTGCATGTTTTCAACATTTTAATTAACAAAAACCGACAACACAGAACGAAGACCGTCATTTCAAGCTGTGCATAGGACAGTACAAACACAGACATTAAAAATAATAACCAAAAACTTTAGCAAAAAAAAAACAAAAATTTAGGAGATAACTGTGCATCAATGCACAAGTCTATGTTGAAATATCTGTGCAATTATTGCAGCATATTTCTACTAAAGTTAACTGGTTGTTAAGTGGAATCAGTTTTTTTTTATTAGGTTTAGGGGGACAGACAGGCTAGACAATCTAACATTTGGTATGTGCATCAGATGTGACAATTTTGGCTTCCTGTTTTTTTCCCCCCTTCTGCTTTAATTTCAATGTTCACATTTAGAGATTCAGTGATCATACATTTCCTTGTCAATATCAACCTCTGGTTTAATTTTAGGTCTCATCTGGTGATTTGCACTGTGAAAGACCATAGCACATGTAGCAGTTTTGAATTCATTGGAAGGTAGCGCATATAAAAGATGAAGTGTCAAACAACTAAAGCAATTTGGCCAGATGACCTTTTTTTGTTTGCTTTATAAATGCACTACATTGACAGTCAGCAAACTCATTAATTCTAACAAAGCCAGGTTCCTCGATAATTCAGTGACTATGCAATGAAACACACCCCTATTGCCTGAATGCACTTACCATGCGCATAATACCGGTTTAAATAAAACACCATTCCACCATTATATCATTTGGAGTTATATAACAAAAGCACACAGTCTGTATTGTTAAACACATTTACTCAAGGAGTTTATTCTCCACTTAATTTGTGTTAAAACACAACAGAAACAATTTAATGATTAACTGGCAACAATTATGTACAAACAGAGCTCCAAGAAGCAGAATTATTCACAAACTATACAAATTCAGCCCTTTAAAGCCACATCTGAATTCATTCATTTCACAAGATGAACCTTACAGAAAATGGTCGCATGTTTTTGTTTTTCTCTTTTTTGCTAAATTAATATAAATTAACTATCTTTGTCACAAACAAATAGAAACACACGTGTTTTGAAAACCTTGTTGCACGACAATGGTTCATTGAACCATTTAGAATTCCTTTAATTTGTATTTGGCAGAAAAATCAGTCATATTTGGGGCAAGAGTTTGTGCACATATACAGAGCTGCTCAAAACTATTTATATCTGTTAAACGGCTTCATGTTTCGTCAAACGTAAAGGTATTATATTGGGATTTTAAATGACCAATCAACACAATTGGTCACCAAGTTGTAAACTTTTGAGAAATAGACAAATGTGAATGGATTTCAAATTATATAAGACAAATACAAATCTGAAAAGTGCTTTACCTCTTTTACTTTAAAGTCCCTAAATAAAACCACAAGCAGCTAATTGGTAAATGGCTTTGAGTGTAATTTAATCTCACTACAAATACAGCTGTTCTCTTAAGGCTTCTGAAGTTTGTTGGTGAACAAACATCATGAAGAGAAAAAGAGGACAGACAACACGTCAGAGATAAAGTTGTGGAGAAATTTAAAGCAGAGATAAGTTGCAAAATGCCCATTGCAGAGCACCATTCAAGTCGTACAAAAACGGAAGAGGTGCTGCACAACTACAGCAAAGACAGGCTCGGCAAACACAGCATCAATCTGGTAATACTGGAGGAGCTGCAGCCATCCACAGCTCAGGTGGGAGGATGTATTGACAAGACAACCACAAGTTATCATTTCCACAAGACTTCCCTTTGTGGAAACGGCAAGAAGCATTAAAAAAAAAAAAAGACATGAAGCTCTGTTTAAAGTACACCAAAGGCCATGATAGAAACCCAGTGAACATCTGAGAGAAGGTGATCTGCCGAGTTGAGACTGCAACTTAATTTTTTATACAATATATGATGGAAAACTGACACCCATGTCACAACGAGCACAACATTAATGTGACGTGAAAGTCATTCTGTGGAAAGACAGGTATATGTGGAAAGAGCAGAGTTAATGTGAAGTGTGGTGGAGCTAAATAACAGGAAAATCCTAAAATAAAAAAATAAAAATAAAAAACTGGTTGCAGGATGCATAAGCATTGAGGCTGGGTCAAGGGTGCAGCTTCCAGTAAAGCAACAACCCTAAATCTTCATCCAGAGCCACCATAAAATGATCTACCCCAGACTTACTAAAGATTAACAATAGGCCAAAGTGCAGACTTAAATATGACTAAGAGCCGCTCCATTCCCTCGTATTTCAAGTTATTTTTTATGTTTCAAGCTGAGTGACTTGAATCGTAAATTAAAGCAAACTCTGGATCAATATTGTATTAACTCAGGAAACTAAATACAAATGCAAGCCACATTTTTTATATTTTAATTACTAAAACACCTCTGAATACAGTGTGCATTTCCTTTCACTTTGGATTTTGTGCTCTGTTGATATGTCACATAAAACTCAATAAAACAAATAAAAGATACAGCTGTGAATAATTGTGATTTTTGTTGTTAAATTTGTCAGGTTTTGACGTTGATTCTTGTTGTTGTTGTCATATACTTTTCAGTATGACAAATATGCAGTCCAAGGTACAGAATTTCACACGTCTGACAAATTAGCAAGTACGAACTGTGAAGTGAATGGCAGCATTGAAGACAGCGCAGAACTGATTGCAGCTTCAGAAGTCGATGTATATGTTCAGTAAAGATAGAAAATGTTTCTAGAAACATATTCGCCTCATGTCATCAGGTTCTGTCGGCCTTCTATAAACTGAATCCCATCAAAAAAGGGAAAATGCATAACTTCATTCAACTGCACAAGTGCAGCTCACACAAACTTTGTGCAGCATCTGAATGTTGTCTATTGCAGACACCAACATTATTGCCTTTTCAGTTCACAATAAATTATTTTCTGAATGTGCAAACAGCAGAGTTACATACCATTTATCAGATTCAACAGCAATAATTGATCAGGCTTTTCAAACAAACTGTGGAAACAATTTATAGTCCTCCACCCTCTGGTCTCCACAGGAGTTCATCGCAGCAGGGGCAGTGAATGTACACCGTGAGCTCAAATGTCCACATCATCCGAGTCCGTCGGGCTCGATGACTGGGTTTCCTCTTGACTTTCTCCCCATACAAACCTGTAGTTGTTTTCAAGCTCCTGCTGTCTCTTTTGTTCTTTATAAACCTCCTCTGTGCCTCCAGTCTGTGGAGTAAAACAAACAAACAAAAAAAAAATCAGACAGATCCAGTGTTATTTTACTTGCAACGTTAAAATTTGATTAAAAGCGCATGCTTCTAAATCTCTACGGGCTTATTGGTTCAACAGAGAGGAGTGGTGCGATGCAGACTCCAGAGTCAACAGCAAATACTGGCAAATGCAAACCAAACCTCTTTTTGACTTATGTGACTTTTACATGGCTGTCTCAATGGCCCAATTCTGATCTTTTCTCCCAAAAAATTAGGATTTGTCCCACTCCCATATGTGGTATTGCATCGGCTAATTATCCATTTGTTTTCAAACGCCTGAACAGTCATGTCACATTTTACTTTTACGTCAATGATGTGAGAAATGCATCATAGTTCTGCAGAAGAAAAAGCCAGAAGCATTAAATCTGGATGTAAACATTGGCTGAACTTTATGATTATGACAGAAGTCGTCACTGCAGCACAGCTGCACAACTCCCATCGCTCCTGGTCTGATTACACATCCAAGCAGACTTCAAGACAAATGTTGCAGCCAATGCAACACAAAAGATCATCTCTATTAGTTGTGCTTTATTTCTTAATTAACTTCCTTCATGTTGTTGTGATTTTTTGACAAAAATGTTGGCACCCGTTGCCAACAACAATGTTGTGGTGAATGTTACACAGGAGAACACCAACCTCTATTTCTACCTTTAAAAGGAAAAGAAAAAGTTGGTAGTGGCTGCCCTGTTAAACTAAAATAGCTCTCTGATTAACTGAATGAGAGGCCAAGTAATGCCTAAAAATGCCAGAACAGTATAAGAGAAGATTTCCGTTTTTACAAGTTTTAAATCTCACTGTGATGTCAGCAATAACAGACTGAGAAAAGGGGAAGGAACTCTGCACAGCGTGCCCAGACAAGTCCCTTGAAGCTGAATCAGAATCGTCTTTGTGCGCAAACTGGGTCAACCTGGATCAGTCAGCTTGTAGAATAAAAAAAACTTTCCAAGCTTTGGAAAGCATCCGCCAACTACTTCAAAAAACAGACGCCTTCAGTTGCTCTCAGTCAGAGGTATTAGGATTTACTGACAGTCGCTTATTCTCTACAATATAAAATAAGTCAATAAATGAAATAAAAGGTTTGCTGAAAATCAGAATAATCCACACAGACGCTTTATAATTTACAACCTGAATGAGTGCTGTTACTTAGTTCTTTCTACCTTTATGAATTTGGACACACATGAAACCTGAGAGTGGAACTATAAACTTTGAATTGGTTGGATGGAACCCAACCCAAGAGTCATCACTGATACATTACCTCCTTTGCTCTGTTTTTTATTTATTTTTTAATGGATTATTATTGTGCCATGTTTTCCTCAGGGTTATTCAGTTAGAAAAGTAGAGCGCTTAAACTCTATTAAAGCTGCTATTTTTACTTTACCAAAACAGACGATGGTTATTTCATTCAAGATGCCTTTTATCTTTTACATTTTTATGTTTTAGAATTCAATATAGCCAGTTTCAGAAAGTTTTATAATTCAATTCAGACTCCCATCAAAGCAGCAGAAACTGCAACAACAGAGAACAGGAGCTAACGCGATCAGAAAAGGTCGACTGTGGTGTCGTACTTAACTTTTATGACTGAATTATGG